CTAGTACTACTATCTGCTTATCAAGAATATCTGATGACATTTAAATTGATGACGTCACAAGTGGTACAAAGAGCACGACCATTAATTACGGATATATGCCTAGTTGGTATTCAAAGGGTTAACTGTTTCACGTGGCTGAAAAAGCTCCTTTAAGTGTCGATCAGTATTTGTACAAAAGATGTTTGAGATCATTGTCGTAAATATCACAAAGCACATGAGTTCTTTTAGCTTTCTACGTTCTTCGGATACGTAGAAGTTAAAGCTGGTCAAAGTTGTTCGTTCTGGGTCAAGAGCGCTTATGGCATTCGATCACGAAACAAACAGCTTATTGCTTTTTTAAAGCAGTTATATTTTTACTTTCAATTTAGTTTCTGCTTTCGTATTGAGGGACTGGCTATTCGTAAAAAGACTAGAAAGACCAGCACAAACAACGGAAATTGTTTTGTTTCGTGTGCGCGACTTTGTGGCCATTACTGTTTTATCGCTCCATCGTGTTCCTGTTACCACATTGTTAGCATGCACCGCCTCCAAACGTAAGATTCTTCCTATTTTTCAAAACTCAAATGTTTAGCATAATCTTAGGAATTCTCTGCCTGCTTCTAATGCATTCATTTCGGATTATCCTCGACCAACTAGTGCAATAATTTGTTTCTTGACGATAAAAGTCGACATATAACAAGCATCGTTTTTGCTCTTTTACGCTTTCTCATAAACAATCAATGTTGTGCTCTCGCTACTTCTTTGTCTTGGGTTATGAGCATATTTTTTCCGCATTGGATTAAGGATTCCGAGGGTAAATAAAGGTTATTTATTTATTTTTTAACAGCTTGTTACCTTGTGCGTCTAAACGGGTACATTTTTGTTTAGTTTCAATTTAGATTCTGCTTGCACAATGAGATCACTGCTAATTAATCTGAACAGACTTAAAAGAAGTCAGGACAAGCAAAGGAATCGTATTGCTTTGTACGAAGTCCTTGGACCATTGTTTTATCGCTCCATCTCGCTCCTCGTCACCCTCTTGTTAGCACCACCCTCGAGCGAAAGATTCTTTCTAATTTAGACTCAAAAGTGTGGTATTAATCTATGGAATTTGCTGCCAGCTTGTAGAACATTCCTTGCGGACTGCTCGTGACCAAAACCATTGCTAAGTAATGAATAATTTTTTCTTGACGAAATCTGACAACAACAAATATCTTTAGTCTTTGGGAGTCCTGTTTCTGTGGTTTGCTTGTTCAAGATTATCTTTTTTTACAATTATGTTGTTACACAGTTTTAATTACACGATTACGTAAGAGCTGGCTAAAATGAAAACAACATAGCGTTTGATATTGTTTCTGGAATTTGTTCCGCCTGCAGAGGTTTCGATTCTTGGATAACGTTCGGCAAAGCAAACGAGTACTTTCAGAGTTCAGCTCTTGGCTAAGCCTTTATGGCCGAAACAATTGTCGTGGGTGTGTTAAAATCCGCTGTTGGCTGGCTTTGGTCCAAAGGCCGAGAAACTGTAGCGAAAAGGCTGAGAGATGGTGATGTCTTTAATCAAAATCTTGCAGGCATCATCACAAGTGATATTAACGATATCAAAACGAACTTGAATGTAATGAAACTAAGAGATCTTCGGGCGAGTATCAACTTCTTCAACGAAGGAGTTAATTCTATCGCTTTTGATGCAGATTCAGTGGATAGTCCAGAACCGCCGCCCAAGAGAAGAAAAATAGATCATAGCCCTTCAGAGAGGAAAGACGATGTGGCAAAATTCTCTCAAGCTAATGCCGTAAAGCTAAGCTCACATTCAAAGGAAAGATTCAAGAAGGCCCGTGAACATGCAATGTTAGCCAAAAGCGATCCAACTTTGAAACCTGAGGATAAAATTTTGGCTACCTACATCACGATTATGGCGCAACTGCTTGAAAGTAGTGATGATCCAGAAAGAGCATTGCACTCATGCAAATGGCATCTTGAACAAATGCATCGTGTAGAACCGATAATAGCCAACTTCAAAACTGAATTTCAAGGAGAAGGTATCGGAAAACGGCTGAGCGATGTCGAACGTAGACAGGTCATCTGGCTTGTCTGTCTCGTGAATCGTTTGGTGTTCGATATCGCACAATCGCTCGGTGGAGACAGGGTGTTTCGAGATCTCTTCATCTGGCCCACCATTGAAATTCAAAGTAAAAAAAGAGGCAAGGAGGAAATCGATGTTTTGCGCGATTCCAGATTAGACAAGGTGGTGCATAAGCAAGGTTTGGAACCTATTTCTGTGGTATGGTCGTTTGGCGATCAAAGTGAAGAAGAAGAGCACAAACTGAAGCGTCCTCAATGCATCGCTACGAACACAAAAGGAGAATTTGTTGTGCTAGACGACATGGCCATCAAAATCTACGACAGCAGCGGCGGATTCCTCCGCTGTCTTCTGAAAGATTGCAAATTTGAATTTCATACTGTTGACGTTGACACTGACAATGAAGGCAACTTGTATTTGCTCGCTTGGGAAACCAGTAAAGATCATGGAAAAAACATGGAAGAATTGTTTGAAGTGTTTGTATTCGACACGAACGGTGAGTTCAAAAACAAATTTTCTCTGAGAAATAAGTCCAAAGGACACAAACTAGCTTTGAACTCACATGGCAACCATACTGAAGTGCTTGTTCTGGAGAGCGGTGAAACAGGGTTTCATGACAAGTCTGACAAGGTTGGAGTGTACCGCTACAAGACTGAGGGTGCGTTTGATCGCCAATTCGGGAATGGAATTTTGCGGGATGCGAAGGATATTGTCAGCGCTACTGATGGTCGTATTTTGGTGTTGGATGAAAGTCGTGGACCTAAAGAGAAGAGCTGTGTTCTCGTATTCGACGCAGGGAAACAGCACCTTTCCAGTATTGACGTATTTCCCGGTTCTGTTGCCATAGGGTTTCATTGTGTAAGCGAACACGTTGTCATCATCTCTGTTTCCGAGGACCGAGAAGAACT